CGAACCGATACGAATCCCGAAGTAAAAACACAATTGATCCGCAATGTTCTACGGTACTGAATTAACAAAATCATTACAAAATGTACAATAAAGCAAACCTCAAATATGCAGCCAAAAGCACTCAAGCAAGCGAGCCAAATAAGATGTCCAGAGAGAGACAAACAGTCGCCCACGTTCTCAAACCACGCAAAATTTCAATGTGCCGGGCATCGAATTAACAGATAAATAATGATGTATGGTGTTTGTGATCGAGAATTGTCAATACAGGAGCAGCATACAGATAAAAATATTCCACCATAAATCATTATGGGTATGGAAGAATTTTCAAAAAATCAGCATGAAATCCACCGACCGCCAAAATCTTACTTGGGGTCCCTGCGCAAGTTTAGGTGGGTGTAAGATCTCTATCAAAATTGATCTCGTCCGAGCGCACAACCAAATCTTCGTGCACCATCAGGACGTCCCAAAAGCGGTGTGACTACGCCACTTGTTCTCTTTGAGTTTCTGCGTATGCCTTTCGGTTTGAGAGACGTAGCTCAAACTTTTCAGCGTTTCATAGGTCAAATATGTTTGGACGAAGCCTTAGTTTATTTAGACGACAGTTTGGTAGCTAGTCCAACACCTGAGGAACCCAAACATCACCTAAGCGCTCTACCGGACTCACCTTTGGCGCTAACCACAGGCGCATCCAACGGAGCAGTAGGTGCGGTATTACAAAAACGTGTAAGCGAAGAGTGGAAACCTTCAGCATTCTTTTCGAAACGTTCACAACCGGTTGGGGCTCGTTACAGCACATTCGGCCACGAACTCCTAACCATCTATCTAGCTATCCGTCACTTTCGTCACGTGCTAGAAGGTCGCCATTTCACCGTTTTTACGGATCATAAACCAGTCATCTTTGCAGCACGGGCAAAACTCAAACAGATTCTCTTCTAGAGACTCAAGCCACTTAGATTATGTTACCCAGTTTACTGAGGACATAAGACAAATCTCAGGGGCACTCAACCCCGTCGCCGATGCACTTTCGCGCATCCATCTCATCTTCACGAACACCACCAACCTTGGAAAACTTGCCGCTTTGCAAACAGCCGACCCAGAAATAGAACTTCTAAAAAGCAACAGTTCCCTTCAACTCCAAGAGGTACCAGTAAGTACGTCCGAGAGCACCATACTCTGCGACGTCTCCACGGGCACGTTACGCCCATTAGTGCCACACACGTACAGGAAACAGGTTTTTTCACTGCCTTGCACAACCTAACTTATCCAGGAATGCGAGTTTCCGCTAGGCTCATAGCAGAACGTTCCGTTTGGCTTAAGATGAACCGTGATGTAGCTAAATGTGCACGTTCCCGCTTAGAGTGTCAACGTTTTAAGATCTTGTGTCACACCAAGACGTCGTTAGGCATCTTCGATACTCCAACCGCCCAGTTCCAGCACATCCACATCGATTTAATAGGGCCACTACCACCGTCAGGAGGTTTCGTATACTTGCTTACTTGCGTCATCATCCGGCGGCCAACGGTCTGATCGAACGCTTCCACAGGTAACTCAAAGCAGCCCTCAAGGCTCATCCCGGTTCAGAATGGCATGAGACTCTTTCGCTTGTCCTTTTGGGCATTGGAAACACGATAAAAGCCGACTTGCATACTACACCGGCCGCACTAGCTCTCGGCTGCACGTTATGCCTTCCGGGTGAATTCGTTTCACCGAAGCCCCAACGTAGTTTTAACTACTCAGATTTTACACAACGACTGGCGCATCATATGCGTGAGGTACACGCTACTACCACACGGCAGAAAACAGTACCCGTTTACGTACCAAAGGATCTTACGCGTTGCACTCACGTTTTCCTTCGCGTATACAGCATCCGTACACCTCTACAGGCACCATACACCGGTTCACATAAGACTATCATGAGTAAAAACAAGCAAGCCACAATAGAAGTTGATGATAAGAAGGAGTCCATCAGTTTAGACCCACTGAAACCGGCGTTCTTAGGAGCCGACACCACTTCTACTCCACCTACGGAAGCTACAGATCCTTCGTCGGTAGACACAACGCCAACCAGATCCACGGACAACCACCTTTCAACACTACCATCAATACTGGTGACGCACAAGCGCCGCGGTTGCGAAGTCGTTAAATATGTACGTTCCCAATGTTACCATGGTAAAGATACGTCGACTACGACCGGACGTGACGCGCTTCAGAACGGGAACCACGAGCTCGCAACACAACCAAGTTACAGTTGGTTGAACCAAAAGACTTGCGGTTGTAGATGTTTATTGAGGTACCGCGGCACGGAGAAAGTACTGGTAACGGCTGACGAGCGTTTGCGTTAAATCACGGAGGCGCGAGAACCAACGAGCGCGATAACAAGCAAAATGAAGCAAAAGAGAAAAGAGAAAGTTCCCTTGGCGCAAGGATTAGGCAGTTTTCAATCGTATAAAACAAACGTCACATGGCTTTGGTACTGAAGTAGAACTGTGAACATACATTTAGATTGTAGAAAAAAAGTGGTGTCCGGCAAATGTCTGCTAATGTCCGGCTTTCACCGTACAATCGGTCACGCAATAGCAGCCCCCCCNCCCCCCCTCCGCTAGAAAGTGTGAAATATTTTTCAGTAATGACAAGACAAAGATGGTGCTGTGCTGAGATGCATGATGTTCACAAAAGATCACAGTAGGTGGGTTCGCGGTCGGAACAGCATCGAGGGCAGTGGAACAGCGGAGTAAAGTTACTCAATGTCGAGTCAGATGCGTTGCCGTGATTGGGATCGGAACAGGATACCAGCGAGGATGGTGTTCTGGATTGACCAGTTAGCGTGCTACGCCCGAGCCAACGTACTTACGTTGTTGACTGAGGTAACCGGAATCACACGTGGTTGGGAGGGCATGCCGTTGGGTTCGTGGATAACCTACTGACTCGGTGGCGGCATATGTGGAACCAGAATTCGTGGCAGAGGAATCTAGCACGGTGGGCATTATCGCATTAACGTTAATGAGTGATAACGCGTCAGCAACACAGTTCAAATTGCCCTGCACATGTCGAAGGTCAGTCGTGAACTGTGAAATATAGTCTTAATGTCTGGTTTCTCGTGAAGAATAACGATCATACTTGGCATGCAAAGCATACGTTAGAGGTGAAATTTATACCTTCGACTGCATGCCGAAAATGCTAAATTGCACTGTAAGTAGCTAGCAGTTCCCGACCAAAAGTATTGCATCTCGTTTCTGTGGGAGTGAGGCGTCGAGAATAAAACTCGAGAGGCTGCCACGTCCCAGAAAGACGGCTCCGACGGCATAATCAGAGGCATCAACCGCTATGCTAAGCATGGCTGATGGATCGGGATGCATGAGGAGCGTCGTACGTACAATACAGTCTTTCACCTTTTGGCCTACGGAGTTGTAAGGAAGAAGTCAAAATAGGGATATTTTGCATGCACTGCCTGAAACGCTTTCACCTTTCACGTGCCAAACTCTTAGTAAAACAGCCAAAACAGTTATTCACTCAGCCAGAATGTGGTTCCGTACGGAATGTGCAGAAATCCCGATTGTAAAATGCATCACTTGTATCACACACAAGTAAGAGAAGCAACTCTCAGGAGCCGAAAAAAGAGCGAATTCAAAGATCGCCACACTTGAGGCAAAAATAGCAGACTTAAGTTCGCGGATCACACCAGCTAGTCCGATCCGGAAACCCAGCAAGCGACCAAAATGCCCGACACAAGTGGTCATCCCAGGGCAGGGGACCCACGCGGCTGAACTGAGTGCGACAACAAAAGCAACAGTAGAAGCGCCTCCTGCCTCGGTACCCACACACACCCAGTGGACTCCCTTATCTGTTTCTTCAAACATAACAGCTCTGGCTGTCAGCTCGCCATGGCCAAAACACCCTTTAACCTCCATAACGACGGCCACTGTTGTGAAAGTGGCCCCTTCGTATGCAGATGGCATTTCCATTCCACTTAGAAAAGCAGCTCCTACAGCTGCACCGCAGCAGAAGCACCCGAAAAAGGGGCAGGCATATCGTCTGCTGCATCGCCTCCACGGACAGATTCTGCTCCCTCGTCCACAACATCCAGATACGGTGCGTGTAATATGTCACGGACAATTGAGAGGTGCTTCCGCGATTCGCAGGAACCTATGCAGCAGAGGAAGCTCCCTTCGAGATCTCAGTGCATTATTGCTGTCAGTCTTCCAGAGGCTGAGGCAACCACCGCCCAGGCTCGCTTGAACCACGGCCTGCAGCTGCTGAGGCTGCACATGGTTACCTTGTTTGATAGCGACGAGGTGGAACGAGTAGCATAGATCAGATTAAAAGCGGCATTCGGGCTTCAAAAGCCCCGCCAGGATAATTCTTTACGGTCACTGAAAGTGGTTCTTCGAGGAGAAAGCTAGACCAAAGCGATACTCCAGGAGACCCACAAGATGAAGGGAACTCCGGTGCAATTCATCAGAGATCTTGATCTCTGGGATCCCTACTAGTGTTGTGGGCGAAGTAATGGAGCGACTGGTGGCTGCACAGATTCGGCAGCATTTGGTGTGCCACGGTCACCTGTGCCATCAACAACACGGTTTCCGGTCGGGTCGCTTATGCCTCTCAAACCTGCTACTTGCACGTGAATGCTGGACCGAGGATAAGGCCAAAGAACACGAAACGGACATCATCTTCGTGGACTTCAGCAAGGCCTTCTACAAAGATGGTATTATCTGGCGACCATGTGGCGTTTTTCAGAACTTAGCGCAGTGATTCCTTTCGGTTGTTACCCTATTCCGCACATACATGACATCACCGCGTCACTTGGTGCGGGCCTACCCCCAAATCCCGGTAGCTCCTGAAGGCGTTAAAACACTACTTTCATGACTCCTTCTGGTCTGTTTGAGTTCCTACGTATGCCTTTTGGTCTGCGAAATGCTGCTTAGAATTTTCCAAAGGTTTATCGATAGCATTACACGAGATTTAGATCTTGTTCACGTCTATATCAATGATTTAATAATAGTATCGTCCTCTGTAGACGAACATTACTATCATTTGGCATTATTATTTCAACGTTTATCTGACCATCAAATAGTGGCCAACCCTGATATGTGTGAACTCGGTCGATCGAAACTCATTTTCTTTGGCCACAAGATCACACGAGATGGCATTCAACCGTGTAAGGATGAAGTTCGTGCCATAACAGATTACACCTTGAAACATTGGGTCCCCTTTATCCAATTCGTTAGAACCGATAGAAGACAAATACTGCGAGATGTTGACATTTCTTTTAATTTCTTCAATCGCTACAACGTAAAACAATCTGGTATTTATACAAGCAAGTTTTGATAACTACAGCGGTAAAACGGAAAATAGTCAGGGAAGCGAAGGAGAGCGTGGGGTAGGAAATCAGGTCCATGGCAGTTTGACTAATTGAGTAAGAAATTTTTGTGCACATGATATTGGTTTACGTAACTTGATTGGCATTGCCTCGCTAAACACCAAAATCCTGGGGTTGAAGGTACGTAATAATGGCTTGAACGACATTTGTGGGTCAACGATGAGTCCAGTTGCCATGAGATGGTTTACGATTGATGACCCTGGATTTCTCTTATTGGTTTGACCTCTAATAATTTGTTGCGTCATCGATTGTACCAACCATTTGGGAATGTGTTCAGACATCCGTTGTGCCAGGGGTTGATTCGTTCTGCCGATGTACACCTTAGGATTTTCCCTCAAAGACCTCAAATCATCCTTAGGACTGGTAAATTTCTATCGGCGGTTAATTCCTCATGCTGCTGAATGGCTGCGACCATTGACGAACCTACTTCGTGGCAATCCACGTAAGCTCGTACTTTCAAATTCCGCAAGAGTAGCGTTCCAGTCTTCAGTCTGTCTTCGGTCTTCAGGATTGACGGTAGAGGGCAGGGTGCTCGTGTAAGTCCTATCACCAATGGGTCGAAGGTTCGATCACAAGTGTTTCTTCCTCCATAGACCCTTCAGGTGCTCATCCAGAGGCCGTTTGAAAGCAGCGTCTGTCTTCTCTTCCACCACAATCACTGCAAGCGAATTCCAGAGTGTTGTTGACCTACGCTAGAGTCGGTAGACTAACGGAAGGCAAACTGACCGACGTTTCCGCAACGTGAGAGAGTACCCCCGCGTGCGGTCCTCTGTTCGTAAAGGGAAGTACTTTTGCAGCTCCCGGCCCATGTAATCCCTCGGGATCTTCCTCAGGCAGATGAGATCTCCCATGAGGCGTCGATACGCAATTGGGAACAGACCAGTAGCCTGTAGACGCCCTTCATAGCTGGTCCCGCGTA